CGTCCACTCCATGTTTAGTGGGCGTACAATATATAGTTAGGGTAAGGCGGTGACGTGAGTGAGAGGTCCTTCCACCATTTTGGTAAGTGAACAATCATGGTAAGTTTAGATCTCCATCCTGACATTCTCTCCCTCGTGCTCCTATTCAATCGGAAGAAGACCCTGAGTTAGATTTGGGTTTGATCCTGAGCCTAGACGTTGAGTTAGAGTGGACTGAACTTGCATTGGAGTGAAGAAGACATAGGAGGACTAGGGGCAGCCTTGGGCGGCGCCTAGCTTGGGTGACCCCCTCGGTGGCGCCCCAAGCGCTTTGGGCGTTGGCTCCTTGGGCGTTAACCTCTTGGACGCTGGTCTCTTAGACGTTGGCCTCTTGGGCGCTAGCCTCTTGGTGCCTTTTTGGATTCCCTCATGATGGGTCGACCCAGCTTCGATTAGGCTTTCCTGATTTATTTAAATTGGGCTTGACCCAGTCAAATTTGGGCTCATCATTTGTCCTCCATACCCCAAGCTTCTGACCTTTTGCTAGAGGAAGGGGTTGTGGGTTGACCCAACTCTGATTGGACTTTCCTAATTTATTTAAATTGGATTTGACCCAGTCAAATTCAGGCTCATCAAAAGTTAATAATACTAGAAGTTAATTGCAACATTTTCACATGAATCCAATTCCTTAAACCCATTGTCATGTGTTAGGGGTAAAAAGAGAATTACATTAAGGGGCGAAGTCATAAATTTGTTTTATGGTGGGCACACTTAACCTATAAAATCTAATTTTTTTCCAATCAACAAAAACATTGTAGTATATGTGTTTTTTTTTATATCGTGTTGCATATTTAAAAATTCATCAAACACAAAAGGGTCAAACGTTAATATACGTAGTATATGCAAACAATACTCTTTAAAAAGAGGTTAATTACAACTCTTTGCAAAAAATGAGGCTAATTACAGCCATGCACATTGGACGCGACAATTTTTCAAACTTTGAAAGAATTGTATGATAACTTTATATCAAAAAAGTCTTTCTCTATACAAGCAATTAAGTTAATAGTAATCAATTTTCAGGCTAAGTTGAATCAATTTGAAAAAATTATAACAATTTCAAACAATTATGAATAATATAAAATTAAGAGTTATCGAAAAAATAAGTTCAATTATTAGTCGTAGATCTTTGGAGTTACGGAAAAAGAACTTGCACTCACTAGTTTTTCCATTTATCCTGAATTCAAAAGGCCATAAAGTAGTTAGGGTCAATTTGTGCAAATAATCAAAATGGTTAATTGTTTTTTACCTATTTGTGGTTTCACCTAAAAACACTTTACTTTCTTGATATTTAAAATTATGCACATTACCTCCTTATAATAATGTACCATAGTGAAATAATTGACACGTTAATATAATTAAAAAATTACCATAATATCCACCTTTTAAAATCAAACTTTTCTTCTGATTTATTATTGACCATAAAACTAATGAAACATATCAACAAACCAACGCATTTCAATCAAACATGTCGAGTTTTTTTTTCTCTAGTAAAGTTTTGATCCAGAGCCGAAAATCACTTATATTTTTCTTACATGTTTTTTGATTTGAGATCAATGTCCTACCTATTTGAGTATTATACCATATATTATAAAGGATATTTTAAGCACTTAGACAATGTTCTTTTGGAGGGAAACAATGGAAACAAATTCCACAACATGTTTTGGACATGTGGAGCACATTCTCTTTTAACTTGGAAGATAAAAATAACCATTTTATATTGGTACACAACTATAAAGAAGTAATGTGTAAAATTTTAAACGTCAAGTAAGTAAAGTGCTTTTACTAAAACCACATGGAGATAAAATATAATTACCCCTTTTAAAAAAGGAATGGGCTTGAATAAGGATGTTGACTACTTGTATATTTATGATTTTTTTTGTCTGTGATTCAACAATCCCAAAGTTTTTTTTTGAGCCGATCAAATAAAGTAAGGAAAAATAATCTTATTTTAATTTTTATTTTCACACTCTTTCATAACATATGTTAAAAGTCCTCTAGTGTGAAAACAAAAAAGTTTGTGACACTGAACTGGACTCTCGATAGATAAAATAAAATCAAAAATACCTTTAATCTCATACTACGCTTTCAATACATTAACTAATATTTTGAAAAAATAATAAAAAACTTTCTCATATCGAATTCAAAGTGTCATGACATTATTACTTAAAATTCATATTTCATATGGTGAAAGCATAATCTTTTTTTTTTTCTCTCATAAAAATCTCATTGGCGCCAAGCGTGAGGGAATGCTAAACTTTTATAAAAAGATAAACCCTCTTACAAAACTCATTACCTGTGACAAACCGTATATAAATTAATCATTAACACTTTAATTAGGTCATCAATTATGATTCTATATAATTAAATATTAGGTTTAGAAATTTTAAATGAACAAATGGACCTCACATATAGATTCTTTGCATAAAAACGAGTCAAATGACTATAATTTAAGTCAAATTTTATAATAATATCATGAATATATATATATATGTGTGTGTATATATAGAAATGAATATACATGTACGTGTATATATATATAAAATGTTAAGAGGACAAGAAAAACGTACAAGAAGAAAGATGAAGAAAAAAAAAAAAGAATGGCCAAACAAATGGACAAGTGTCCATGTGATGCAAGCTAGGTTATGCAAGGATGATGAATTAAGCCCATTTGACATGTGATTTTTGGCCAAAACTTTGGGAATAAGTAGCCTGGCCATTCGACCAAGGCAGCAAGAGAAGACAAAGAGAGAGAGAAAGAGAGAAAGAAATTTATGAGAAAAATTGAGTGGTGATTTTGCTTTAAAATTTAAGTATTTGATTTTTTGGTATTTCTAATTTAATATCTATCGGAGTTATTGATAAATTTGATGTACGAGGTAGTATACAATATGCTCTTGTCTTTTAAATCTCTTTGCAGAGAATGTCCTTTCATTATCTAAAATTTTGTATTCCTACTAATTATTCTGATTGATACGAAATTCTATCAATGTTATCGGTTGACCTGTACGTTGGACTAAATATTTTGGGATTGATTAGTACATGTACGAAATGTACTTGAGGGCATAATTGGTAAAATGTGATTTATGGCTCTGTAGGGTGTGATTTGTGATTACAGTCCTAAGGGGTGAAATGGTTCGATATGAATATGAAATTTAAATGCCCAAGTGTCACTTGTCCTGATACCAAAAGGAACCGAGTATAAGGTTAGGTTTGATAACAGTTGAATTATGTGACTTATCGAATGTGATTCTTGATTTTGTTATTCTTGATTCTTATTATCTGAATTATTTAGTATTTGATCATTTATATTTTTCTTGTTGAGCATATTGTTTCCTGTCATATTATATATTTTTCCGTTTTTAATATTTTTTAGGATTATCTAGGAAGAAAAGACCAAAGTTGATATTTGAGGAATCGAAAACAAACGAATCTTAATATAATTTTTAACTATTATTAGTATTTAGAGATCAAAATTATGATTAAAAATATATTGAGGCAATTAAAACTCTGGCCTTGTATTCAGAGATTTATTGTAATCGATCGATTAAATCAAGTAACAGATCCAAAAAATCGGGGTGTTACATTACCCACCTCCAAAATCCACCGCCCATTTCCACCACAAAATCCACCACCCACCACCCATCCCAAAACCCACCGCCACCAACTCCTAAGAAAGGCGAGAGAGGGGTGAGACACAGAGAGAGGGGCGCAGAGAGGGAGTTGGAAAAAAAAAAAGAAAGGCGAGAGAGGGATGAGGGTTTTTATACTCAAGTAAGAAAATTCATTTTTTTTGTTGATAAGGAAGATCGAAGTTAGGATTTCATTAAATCCCATTGAAACCTCACGTGTGTTTTGTTTTTTGGATGTTTTCAAAAACATTATTTTGGATCTTTCCATATTATGTCCTTATTTTCAAAACATTGCAACAAAAAAAAAAACGAAAACATTCACCAAAACACATTTTTATTTTGTTATATTATCAAAAAGTGAAAACAAAAACTCCTTGTTACCAAACGCAACTTCATATGTCTCTTCTTATTGCATTTTTCTTTTTTTGATAAAAACAAATGGGGGTTGTTGGCTCTTTTTTTTTTTTTTTTTTTAACAAAAGGAGGATTATTGACAACATTTTAAAAAAGGTATTATGGTTTGATAAATAAATTCAAAATTATCGTGTTTTGATGTAAATGTTTTGAAAGTAGAGTATTATGATAAATAACTCATCCAACACGTTAGATGTAAAATCCTATTCGAGAAATACTATTTTACTTAAAAAATTAACATGATTTATTGACTTGATGAATAACAACTATTGAATGGATAATATATCCAAATAAATGCTGGGACTCACAATTAAGTCAATAACAATAATTAATTAAATTAGTTTTTTAAGTCAATTTTTCAAGTCCATATAATATTACTTTGGTAATCCATAGATCTCAAATCCAATTCTTTTTCACAACTTCTAAGGACTAGTCACTCTTGTCTTTTGAATATAAGTTTTAGATTAGTTCAAACTATGATGACTAGCCATTGAGTTTGAGGGTGTTAATCGGGCTGAGTTTGTGAACTTGAGCCCGACCTTGACGAGTTTGTTTTTCTAGTTGAGTCCAAATAGCTCAATTATTTTTACTTATAAATGAGACAGAATTTTACGAGTTTGAGTCAAGTCTTTTAAATTTATATTTTTACATACATTTAAAAAATTATTCAAATTCAATTTATTTAGAATATAAGTGAAGTTCAACCCAAGTCTTATTTGAGTTAAAGACCGAGTAATTTGTATCAATTAACCTCCCTAGATGCAAGGTTGGATACCTTCTAATAAAAAAAATGTATAAATCTTCGATATAAAAACGTGTTCGTCTATTGCACAATAACATTTAACACAACCCAACACGCCGGATTTACAATCCTATTTGGAGCATAAAAGCAATCCCTCCTGGCCTGTGGTGAGCAATTCCAATTCAATCCTTCACGGCATCCCCGAAGTACGAAACGACACCAAAAGTAACACCAGAATGTAACGAAACGCAGGCGTCTCTCAGGGTCACGTCACGCCATCAACATCATCAAACAAAAAGGCACGAACTCAATAACATGCCCAAAACAACCATTCTTCATCTTCTTCCTTCAACCTCCCCCCCAAAATTCTCTCTCTGAATTCGTGTTTGTATCTATGTTTTGCTAGGCCATGGAGTTGGAGGCCGCAGATGCGAAGCCGATCGGTGTTGGAATCGAGAGAGCGAAGTCAGAGAGAGATCGGGTTAGGGTGAAGAAGCAGACCTTGGAGGTTGTGCTTGAGCAGTGCCAGAGAGCTCTTGAATTGCTTAGTAACACCGGATTTGTCGATGACGATGCCGCCACTGCGGAAGAGGCTGGTGAGAGCTCGTCGGTGCCGTGCCGTGACAACGAAACCGATGAGGTGAAGGATGGGATTCTATTTTGGCCAATTTTAGATTTTTTTTTTATTTTCTTTGAAAATAGTGTTAGTTTTGTTGCTTTATATACGATTGTGTTTATGTTTTCGTTTTTTATTGTGTTTGGGGCGTGGTTTTATTGGAATGAGGTGTTGTATAGCAATTTGTGTTTGCTTGTTTTAGTAAAATCTGATTTAATGGGGCTGTGTTAGAGTAATTACCACTCAGCTGTATGATGAGCTAGAAATCATTATGTTTCAGTGAATAGATTGAGCTCATAGGTGAAAGTAATATGAGTTAGAGCCTGATATGTTTGAACTTGATTCTGGTAACTTAGAGACAGAGATGGAATTTGAAGAAAGGAAAGAACAGGGGATTTAACTAGTTTATAGAATGAGAATTTCGTGAGAAATTTGAAGTTTAGCCAGAAGAATCTCACAACAACTGGAGCTAGATATTTAATGTGCATATAATAGGAAATAGATGAGAGGAATGTAAAGAAAATACTTATGCTTATTAAAGAATTAGGTTGCTGAACTGGAATGGCAAAGCAGTGCATAAAGGTTAACTGGTAAAAGTGAATTTACATTGATGGGCCAGTGTGAAGTGGAATGGACTATACGTGATCCTAGTTAAATAAGCGGATATGCTTACGGCTGGAAATAGGAAGTGCTATCCATTTAGTCGTGCTACCTGGAGAGCAAAAGATTCATCATTCCCACTATGAATGACTATGGAAAGAGATTGTATGTGCTTACTTTTGTTGGTTTATTCTAGCAATATAAAAATGGTATTTTTTTCCTACTTGCAGTTGTGCGATCTCCTGAAATCTAGAATTGAATGCCCTGATTTTCTTGAAAAGATAGAGAGTGCCCAGGCATCTGCCCCACAAAATACGGCTGGTACCTGTTCAACTCCAGAACTTATTGGTTTGCTCTTGTTTCCCCTTCCTCTTTGAACTTGGAACAATTTTTTATGAATTTAGAATAACCAACAATGTTATTTTCCTCGTGGCTATAAAGCTTTCTGCTCCCCCTCCCCTCCCTTCCATTCTCTTAAATGAATTTGTATGTTATTGAAATTGCTTCTAAGATCTGGATCCTTGTATGATGCAGAAGAAGGCAGTTCCTGGGACATGGTAGGTGAAAATGATCTTTGGGAAGGAGGAAATAGTGAGTTAGACAAGGATGACTATGTTCTAGTTAGGCAAGAGGATATAGTGGATGGTATTGCATGCTTCATGGCTGCATATCTATTGTCCCTTGAACAGGCTAAGGTATGTGACATTTATCTTCGTTACCTGCTTTTGGGACTACTTTCAGGCTATTTTCCCTCATTTATTTGTGAATAAATTATGTACAGTTTTCTCCAGTCATTTACTTCTATTAATTTCCCTCTGCTTTTTTGTTGATGGCTACCAGTCAACAGCCTAGCCTTAAATTAAATATTGTTTGGTAGATTGATTTACTAGCAATATCGTGCATAGGTCCACATTTTGATTTTCTTATCTACTGGTTTTATGAGAAAAAAAACTTGTTTCAGTTTTAGTTGTTCGCAGCTCTCCAGCTTTTTGTGCTGTATCTGTGTTAGAGATACTTGCTTCATTAACAAGGTTGTGTTAGTTGAAGTATTAGATTAGATTCTTCAGCTTTTCTTTGTCCTTCAATTGCATATGTGCTCTGGACTGCACCTTCTGAAAGCTGAAACCTAACTTGTCCTCTTATTTGCAATAGTTCCATCCTAATTTGTCTACCTACAATTTCCATCTTGTATTAAGGAGTTTGATTGATTTTAGGATGAAGTAGAACTATTCTTTACTCTTCTATAAAACTTCAGACTGATTTGGAGTCCAGAATGGGATAAGATTTGCTTACCTTAATTGTTTGGTGCCATCTTAACATTTTTCATAGTCATCAGTTTCCGGAGCAGAATCCTAGTAGGTCTAATATTGGAAATTAGATGCCTCTGCTTGCTCATGTTATCCTTTCTACCCTATGCAGTTAGTTTACCCTACTCACTGTCCCTGTTTTGTTACGAACTGATAGTTTCTATTTGGGTATGTAACTAAGTCGTTCTTCTTCTGCTTCTTACAATTTTTTTATTTCAAAACGCTTATTGTTGTGTATGCAAATGATTTGGTTGATTGGATTTGGTCTGATAATTACGAGACAGCTGAGATTGTTTAAACAATTTGGATTAGTTTAAAAACTAAGCTGAGAAGAGATAGTTGTTGCAAGCCACTATATGTATTGCATTATGGGGGTGGGGGGAGGAAGTCGTCAAAAGAAGATAAGGATTAACAGCATACGACCAACTGCCTACTGGGTTTCCTTAGAATTTGCCTCAAATTTCTACTTTGTAGCTGGACAAGACATGGTTAATAGTCGCCTGTTTAATATGCTGTTTAGCTGTCAAACTAGGATAATGCTACCCTTATCTATATTCCCACTGGCACTGAACTATCTATCAGCTAGAAAATCAGTGCCAATGCTTGGTACTGATTAGCATAAGCTGGATTCTGTTGTTGGTCATGTGAAATGTTTATTCCGTGAGATTGACATTTTAGCCTTTTTTTCTCAGGATTTGACCCCAAATCAACTTCAGGATGGTGAGTGGGATTGCTTTTTTCTGTTTGACAAATGAGTTCATGCAGACATCTTTTTGAAGAATGCAGATAGAAACAGAAAAAAAAAAAAGCCAACTGGCTTTAAGTTTTATTGTAATTGCACAATATATGCTCTTTATGGAGTTTGGTTGTCTGATGGTGGGGAAAAAGAGGTCTGACTTTCTCGAACTTTGTTTCAGCTCTGTGCAAAACATTCTCTGTGAAAAAAAAGAAGGGAAAGCTTAGAAAGGCATGGGATGGAAGCAAAGTCATTTATAATGTAGCATCCTGGGGGGCTACAGCCATCGGGTAGGCTATTTAAATTGATTTGATGGATATAATGGTGTACTTTCTTTTTTCACAATATTTCACTAACTGTGTTTGGTTTAGGTTTGAGCTACTCACATAAAGTATTATAACAACACCAAAGCTTTAAAATGAACCAATATTCTGATTTCCTTTTTGCTATTGGAATCTCACTATAGCATTGTACTTGAAGGGTGACTGACATAATAAATCTAATGGTTACACTTAGCTTGCCAAGTTGGTAGTCGAGAAGTTGCATATTCTACATACTAAATGCATTAGAACAAAGTTTATAAAGAAGTCAAGCTGATAAGGTCGACTGTTGTACATGATGCACAGCAGAACTATATTTGGTTGAGATGCTGTGTTTAATCTTAGAAGATGGCAGAAAACAAGCCTTCTGAAAAGTATCTCCTGTTTTCATGTCTGCCTCATTTGGTAGTACTCTCATGAGGAGATGTTACTCCTCTTTCAACTTGCACATTCCAATTTTTGGAATGTGGGGTTTGATGTTGGACTTAGCACCAATACCAGGTGGATTGAAAGCTGATGAATGAGATACTGGCATTCAAGCTTTCTCAAATGCCTTTTTTTAAGCATCCATGCTAAAGAAAATGAAAAGAAACGAAAGCTAAAGGGCAAGGGTTAAGCACATGTTGGAAATGAGAATATGCAAGTGTTCTTGTAACCATTTTTAGTGGGGTGCCTTGCAACTTGGGTGGGCCAACCCTAACACAAACCAAAAAATTTAGTGCTTGGACAAAGATATTTAATATCCTGGTTGAGTTTGAACAAAAAAATTACAGTCTGATTTCAATATATACATACATATACATATTTACTCTCAACAAACTCTATCTGGTCTTCAAAATTTTCACAATCTTCCATATGCATATTAATATGACTTGGTCAATTTTATGCTTTGCCAAGTGCTTGGAATGGAATGTTTTGTCCTTGGCACTTTTTATTATGTTGCAGTTGGTACTTTTTGGTTAATGAATATGTTTGTCCTTTGATTCTTGCTCTGAATGCTGCTACTAATGGGATTTTTTTTTATAAAACAGAGTAGAGAATATGTTCTTTTTTTTTTGTTGGCCTATTGTGGTTTAAACCTGAATTTCTAACCCGAAAATAGAATTCAGGGTCAGATATTTAAGCAATATTTGGGTGAAGTGTTCGTGTTGAAAGTCGGGGTTGGGTTGACCTCAGTGCCAAATCCAGATCTAGACATAGATAAAAATTCAGCATTTTCCTACATCTGTCTTTATTTATTTTTTTGGGGGGGAGGACTTGAACCCTTGACCTAAAGAAGGCAAAATCTTCACAAAACAAGGAGTATCATTGGACCAAAGGTCTGATGGTAATCTCTATTTGGTCATTGCTATGATTGTGGATTATTATTTTCTCCTTTAGTGTTAACCGAAAGCTTCCACTTCTGTATCAGTGCCTTATCATCTGACTTCAAGGCTCTGTGATTTGTTTCAAACAGGATATACCAAAACCCTGCCCTTCTTAGGGCTGCTGAGGCAGCATTTTGGACCTCTTGTCGCATTGTATCAAAGCTTCTGTAATCTGCCCAAGCGGCGTGGGAAGGTTCTGATGAATGTATTTGTTGTTGTATGCTTGCACTGCTAAAGCAGCTTGGTATTCCACACAACCCTGTAATAGAAGTGCCATTCTTTGTGTGACAACAACTGATTGCTGATGGTATTAATCTTGTAAATATTTCTTCAATTCAAGCCTTGTGTGCAGTTCAGTTGATTGGGATTGACTATGTATAATTCTTTTGCTTTATCTCTATAGTTGAGAATTTAACTTGACTGTCCATCAGTGAGTGCAAAGACTTCGTCTGTCAAAAATACAGCATACTCCAATCTAATGGGAGAAATCGGATGATTTTCTTTTAACCGCGCGCGCACACACAAATTCATATTTGAGTTCACCATTTCTCGATGGTTATACCACTTGTAACAGATAAAATAAACTAGATATGGCAACATGTATAAAAAACGAAGGACTAAAGGTTAGTTTTCATAGTTAAATTTATGTAGTATCTTTGATTTACAAAGATTTGAATACCATCATAGATGAGGTGACAGTGACATGTTTAATACTCATCTTAACAAAACAAAAAGGGACGAATTAAAAAAAAGAGAAAGGCCAAGCCAACATAACAGGATGAATAAGTGAACATGCAGCACTCAACACAGTATTTATTTCTTGATAAATCCGAAAAAACAAAAGTATCCTTAGTCCTCAACAACCAGGAAATAATTCAAGGTCAAAACCAGTTGATTAGAGGCTTTTTCTGTGTGAACTTAAACAAAGGCATTGTGCATATGCGACTTATGCATACAATTCATCGACATTACACTCCCCAAGGAAAACTTTGATGCTCCGGGGTGAACCACAATTACCTTCAGCGATGAGCGCTCTGTCATTGGCAGCCATGTGTGCGATAATCTTGTAAATCATTTCAATCTGCCACCACAAAGATGAACAGTTGGAAAAAAAAATGCAGTTTGTCCATGCAGCAAGAAGATGGCATAAAACACAACTTCAACTGATGCAACTAGTCATTAAAAGATATTGTACATACATCTTCAGGAGCATGGCAACGTTCAGCTACTTCTTCTAGCGTTAATGGTTCAACGGGCTCTTTACAGCTGACAAAAACATGAAAACGCAATGCTACTTGTTAGTGTCCAACCTACTCAGGCAATGCAGGAAAACGCCACACATAGAAATGAACTAATGGGTTTTTGGTAGGTAAGACTAAGACATAATCAAAGTAGAGGAAACAAAGAGAAAAACAGTTATTTAAGTCCACTTTTAACCAGGGAATGAGATAACAGTTTTCTTTAGTGAAATACGAAAATCATCCTCAAGGATAATAATAAGTATAGACTCAGATAGGAAAAAAATTGAACAGCTGAAACCTAGAAGTTCAAGACCTCTAGCCAACATATGCCAAATTTTTTCTAGCTTTTCCATCCACTTTACAAGCAACTGGCCCCATTCAACCAAAGAGTTTCAATGTCCCACTTTGTTAAAATCATATGAAACATGAATTGCTTAGGTCTTCTCATTTAAGAACATATGTGCACAACATCAAAGACCGTCATATTTTTAAATAATTTCAGCATACCTGGCTTCATTGAGTATTGCAAGAACCCGCTTCTGAAGAGCTAAAACTTCTCCAGCTGCTTTTTTGCCAGCTTCCACACCTGATTACATAATAGTAGTTTTCATCCCCTCATAGAAGAAAGAAAATTGGAAAGAGAGGACCATCTACCACTTAGTTGGCCCAATATGCATGAATCATCATTCAGAATACACACCTTGGTGTCTAAGGCATGATTTACCTAAAGAACAAATCGATTCTCGCCAGACCCAAAATTATGTGGGAAGATAAAGAGAAATATATATTTACCTGGTTGATGGTAAGCATTAATGTTGATCAATGCGGCATAAATCCCCACTGCTCGCTCATAAAGTGCTATTAGAGCCCCCACCGATCTAGGTGTCACTTCTTGAACAGTGACTGTAATGGATTCCCGGTCATTGGCATACAGAGCTGACCTTGTTCCCTGAAAATACTCAAAATCAGATTCAGGTAGAACACGATAAAATATATATATTTGGGTAGAACATTTGCGACAAAAACTAACTTTTTACCCTGTTGAACAATAATACTGAACATTCAGGTTACTGCTTCAGTTGCCCAATATGGCATGAAACAGATATCAACATGGAATGATGGATTGGATTTTAGATGACAACTAACCTACACATTCAAAAGAAGTATAAAATCAGTAATTGTATTTCAGAACCAACCTGTAGCATTCCAAACAGGTAGTCACCACAAGTAACCCCAGGTTCAAGCTCCCAATCATGACCAGGGGGTCTATCACGTAGTACTTCAATGAATGTTGCAAAGAAGTTGTGCACGCCCTCCCTCAATTGTTGAATGTAGCTGTAGACAAGGATATGGAAGGTTTAACCATGGTCTAACCAACAGAAATGTAATATAGATTACAAAAGGACAACAATTACTCACGCATGTTGATCTGTGCTTCCTTTATTTCCATAGACAGAAAGTCCTTGATTTACCTGCCATTAAAAAACATGGGCTACACCATAAGAGACGAAGGAAATTGATCTCAAAACATTACATCGTAGACACAAAGGAAACAACAAGGTCAGCAACATTTTCATTCATAAAAGAATCGTACTACAAGCAAAAGATACTGAAATGCATAGAATTGTTTGTGGAGGGCACTGCATAGTAGAAATATGACATAAGCTATAAGATGCTTGATACAAAACATGACATGTACATGGTGATTGTTTAGGCACGTAAGCTAGCGCATGGTCAACCATTAAACCATCATGCTTTCTTTTGGCCGAAGGAGGGAGAGGGGAAAATACAACCATCTTCGCCCTTCAAGCTAATTACCAACCCCAAAACCAAAAGAAAATATTGTTTCAACCATGACTGGTGAAATACAACCATCAAAAAGTTAAACTGCTTTACCCATTAACCAGAACATCTAGTACATGTTGTATCTTGCCTAATTTGAAGGGGGTAACAATTTCTTGCATAATCTATCCAAGTACTTTAGATGCGTTGGTGGATTGAGACGCAACATTGGCATCGGAACTCAACATTTTTTGAAACACAAGATCCCAAAACATTTTTTACACCTAGATGCTTGTCAAAATAGAAGCATTTCTAGCCCATTATCGAAACAAATCTCACACCACAATTTTTAAAATTTTCAGTTAAAAAAAGTAAGAATAGAAGATCTATGGGTATAGACAAAAAACTAGATTCCAAATATAGACTAATTCTTCAACTTCTAATTCATAGGGAGGAAGCAATTTCAAGAAAACAAACATTATCAAACCACTATGTTTAGTAGAGACATCAACTTATTGTCTCCACCCCCACCCCCCCAAAACACACACACGCACAAAAAAAAAATGAATCAGAAGAATCTAAATAGAAATATAGTTCACATAAATTATACATCTCTGCCAACCACCTTTCACATAGTTTTACCAGTATTCTATGTTCTGCATAAGGAAACACACATACAAACACAAAACAAATATATGGTTTTGGGGTAGGGCAAGGGGGATTATACGAAGAAATATGTCCCCAAAAACATTCACTCTTGTGATAAATTGCAAAGATACACTCCGATTCAAAAACCCACCAACACATGAAATGCGATCATCAGCCCTCACAAGGCAAGAAACGAGAAGAAACAAACACCTCTTAAACAAATTGCTCAGAGTGCTTCAATTTTAGAAATTCATATGGTAATGTAATAAAAAGTAATTTTAGAAGTCATCATCTTTCAACCAAATTAAAATGGAATACATGAAAGAATAATTTTGAACATACTCGATTACCATCCAAGTCAAACTCCTTCCCTAGTGATTCCATGACAAGCTGCTGCAAATACCTACTAAATAATAGAAGGCTGTCCTTATAGGGAAGGACAACCATATCCTGCGTAAAGCCATAATACAAAAGCAGAGCTATTATATGAGGGGAACTGTAATGTAGCACTGCCTAGTGCCCGAAACAGTAGTGATTTAAGTTGAAGCAATTCACACCTTGGATCCTATTCCATCAGAAGCCCAATACCAACATAAAGCAAGTAACGCCGCAGGGTTATTCCTGACCTGAACAAAGATAAAAAAAAGAGGGGGCCTTTATGCTATCATGTCACAGTTAGCTATTGAGTCTTTCATAAGGTATGTATCATAAAACTATATATCTATTAACAATCAACCTTTGCATGTCAATTAAATATTCTTTTTTCTCCTCTTTATTACTTTGCCCTCTAACAATATCCAAGTCAACTAGATCCCCTAGAAGGACAACAACATTTTACTGAGTATCAACAGTTGGTGTCATGAATCACAAGCACAAATAGTACCAATGAGAAGCCATGAGAAAAAAGAAGAGGCCCAGGGGGAGAGAAAAAACTCATGGCCAGAAGAAGAAGTTTTTCCCACATTTTGGAAAGTTCTATATCCCTCACTCAATTGATAAAGCATCATTAGAAGATCAGTGTACTTAAAAGTAGTAAGTGATATTTACCACAGTGGTCCTATTTGCCTCATCCATCAGTGATGCACCAGCAAGCATCTCTCTTATGTCAATTCCCTGGAATGAGGATTTATCATAAATGTAATTTATAATGGGGAAGTTCTAATTTAGAATACGAAAGATGGACAAATAAAGGTCTGCACTGAAAGATCATCAACCTGAAGTGCTGCTGGAAGTAAACCAACTGCAGACATTTCAGAAGTTCTACCACCAACCCAGTCAAACATAGGAAATCTAGCTACCCAACCCTCAATTCTTGCAGTGTTATCTAGTAACGAATTTTCTTGTGTAATGGCAACTCCCTGCAATAGACCAAAGCAAGGAACAGATCAGACATAAAATTAAGACAAAGAATGAATCTACCTCCTGAAGCACCATACTTGGATCTTATGCAGCTAGTAATATCAAGAAAACTATCAATGATTAAATAAATGAGTAGACTATCAGCACATTTCCACCATCTGTCAAATCAATGCTATAAATTTTGAATATGCACTTGCAAGCACAACATACATAAAATGGTGATCACAGTAGAGTCCAGCCCAATCATAAACAATCCCCAATGCTCCATCAAAATTAACACAAATCATACCTGTAATTGAGAAAATGTTAACAAAGTATGCAAGTTATCTTAATTCCTTTTTAGTGTACTTTTCTTAAAGTTAGAACCATCCAAAATGGATCTTACACTATCAAAAATAATCTTTTATCATCAATCTCATGATCAGAACATGCAATTGGATTCCAGTTCTTATTAATAATAGCAAGAGACAAAACAAAGTAACATCAGAAGGGAAAGAGATTACTTGCATGCTTAAGAAACTCAACCATACTGGAGCTAGACATCTAAATTTTTAAAGTAATGATGGGACTAACATACGAAATCAAGAAGTACACAAAGTAGCAACAAATTCTAAATTTAGACAAAAATTTATATTCCAGAACATACAAATAAACTTAGACCAGCCAAATTTTCAAACGTTAATATATCTCTCAATCTTAAACCTTAGCTCATTTAATCCCACATGAAATTTAAGCCCATACACTAAACAATAGGGAAAATAAATAAGCAGAAACAAGAACCTGAGATCAAAACCTGTTTTGCAAACTCCAGGCCAGCTTCACGGAAGGCCTTCTGTACTTCCAGTAAACCGTTTCTGGTTTCGGGAGTACCTCCACTCTAAAAACCATGATCAAAGTGACATCCAGTAAGCAGCATACTTCAGAAGCTGACCGACAGCAAATAAATAAATGAAAAGGAGGATAATTTCCCTGCAGACCTTTGAAATCACTATCACAAGTGTAGAAGCCAACTCAGGGCCAAGCTGAGCAATTTGATGATCTATGCCAGCTGGATCCGTATTATCAATGAACCTTATCTGCAAACAGGACAATAAAACATTATTAAAGGAAAAGTGAGGGGAGGAATGGTCGGATCAGTCATCGTCTACAAAATCGGGTAGCTAGAATTCTCCATTAACAAGTGGAGGTTAAAGCACTCTCTCCAGTTTCACTGCATAAAGATTGCACAGTAACCCTTAGTCCTAGTAGGCAATTGGAATATAAAAGAATTTGAATGAAGCATGAGGCATTCATGAAAAGGCTGAAAAAATGCTACAAAATTTTTAAACAGGAGACAAAAATGTAGTCACAAAGTTAGTTAATGGTGGGAGAAGTACACCATCACGGTTGAAATTTAAAAATGAGAAGTGAGTATAGTTTCACCTCTGAATCATGGGCATATTACCAATTTAGCTGGTTACTACTTGCAGATTGGCATCTTGTGATAGTTAGAGTTTACTAGGTCACTAGCATACACCATTGGAGTTTATGACCTAACTGTGTTCTTCAGCTATTTTTCTACACTATAGGGCAAGATCACATAATCAGTAGCACCACAAACTAATCAAATGCATTTCTGACACCAACCACTCAATCCATCAAATGTGTGCAAGAAACATTTCCTAAACCAATTACAACTCGTGACACAAATATTAATGCTGAAGCAGAACACTAATTGGTCTCTAGGAGTGTCATGGAACCACCAGCCAAGGCCCTACCAGAATTCATTGTAACAGTCATGCTGGATATGTTTAAAGTCGTTATTTCGCTCATTATACTCCTCTCTTAGTTTCTAAATTAATGTTTTACTCTGTTGAAATACATACAGAATGTTCGGTAAGCAGTACCACAAAGGATATTAGCAGAAAAGATGCCATAGCCAGTAGAATTGAAAACTAGAGTGGTCAAAATCACCAATTATATACCTTGAGAGGGGGATTATCAGGAGCCAATGCCTCTGCGACAAACTGTGGTCCAAGAGCTGAACCACCAATTCCAACAGAAAGTACTTGTGTAAAGCGACCCTCTGGAGAAGATGGAGGTTTAATCTGTAGTTTTAATCAGAATTTCAAATACAGCACCAAATACAAGATGATCGATCAAAGCTCAGCAAAGAAAAAGTTGGCAAAAAAACTGACCTTACCACTGACGACGTCGTCAGCGAACTTGCACAGGGCCTCGAGAGTGTTCTCAATCTGCAACCTCAGAAACGAATTAGGAGCTAGTTTCGGATTCCTGAGCCAATAATGCCCCACCATTCTTCCCTCATCGGGATTCGCAATCGCCCCCTTCTCCAACTTCACCATATGGTCAAACGCTTTCTGAAACTTGGGCTCCATTTCATCCAGGAACTCATCCGGAAACCCTACCCGGCTCACGTCCAAATACAACCCTAATTCCTTGTGCTGGTACAACCAGTCAACGTATCTCTTCCACAGAGCTCGTGGATCTTTTTCTAGCCCTCGATTGTTTGACTTGGGTAAAGCATCGTCGGTGGTCGGGGTGAGACTCGCGGGAATGTCACGTGCCACTGAATGAGCTAACGGAGTAGAACTCCGATCGAAACATCGGTCGGAGAGCTTCGATTTGTTATGAAATGCGATTGAGTCTCTGCGAATCGATAACAATGAATGAGGGGAAGCTGAAGTTGATAGTGTTTTGGGGATGAATTTTTCAGGTTTGAATGTTGAGGAAGGTGAACAAAGGCCTGAGATTGAAGCCATAAGAGGGAGAAAGCGAGCTATGAAAACAAGGGAGTGAGAGTGAGAGAGAGAGAAGAGAGCTGAGACTTAGTCCACGGCGAATCTGTATGAAGGAGGGGAGTGGAGGAGGGGAGATTTTTGGAGGTTAGTGGGAGTTTTTGTTGGTCGTTGATTGATGTTCTGATTCCCCCAGATGGATCAGTGTTGCGACCGACCTCGTGAGGCTCGTGCGGAGTAGAGGGTTTACGTCACCTACTTGTTGATTGGGTTCTACTGAATTGGGCTTTTTAAGCAAAAGGCCCACCTGTCCCTTCAATTAGAAGGTTTTGCGGCCATCGTTTGGAGGCGTTTTTCTTAAAATTATATGAATTAATTATTACCTACACGTAGGGTAGTCCGGTGAGTGAGGTAACAGCCTTTCACCTCACTTTAGAGTTTGAGTTTTGAAACCCTCGTTGAAATTTGGTGTGATCGTTATGTTATTCTATCCAGATGTGGTCTTAAAAAATGTTTTAAACGTGATCAGAAACATCATGATCCCATCGGTAAAAATTTATCGAAGTAATCGCTGGACACTCTTCTTTACTCCCATCTCTTATTTTATTTATCAAAAAAAAATATAAATTAATTATTATGAACGAAAATACAGGTGAAGACAAGAACGGAGATAGGGATTAAAATTTATCCGCAAGATAGAAATAGAAATTAAAATTTACAAAATTTGACCGAAAATGGACTAATACTTTTGAAACGATACGTGGTAGAGACTACTCCCCACCCCGTCTACTGTTATTCCTATTTACTGCCTCTCTTTCATATAAGCAAAAACCTTGGAAGCCTTATTACCCTACCAAAACAAAAAGAATGTTAATTTGTAACGGCTGCCGGGTGGGCGGAAGCAAAAAACAATCTGAAAAAGGTAAGGGTAGAGACAACTCAACGACGTCGTTTTAACAACTATCCCATACGTACACGACTAAGCTGTTCCAGCTGTATTTATACATGGGGAAAACGTAAAGAACAGTCACGTCCTTCTCAACTCTCTCTCTCTCTCTCTCTCTCTCTCCGTGTGCACTGCAAGCTCTCTTCAATGGCGACAGCAGTACCGGAAAATTTGAACAGAGACCAGTACGTCTACCTTGCTAAACTAGCAGAACAAGCCGAGCGATATGAAGAGATGGTCAAGTTCATGGAAAAGCTCGTCATCGGCTCGACTCCAGACGCCGAGCTTACTGTCGAGGAGCGAAACCTCCTTTCTGTCGCCTACAAGAACGTGATAGGCTCGCTCCGAGCGGCGTGGCGCATCGTGTCTTCGATCGAGCAGAAGGAGGAGTCTCGAAAGAACGACGACCATGTGGTTCTAGTCAAGGACTACAGATCTAAGGTGGAATCTGAGTTATCTGACATTTGTGCTGGGATTTTGAAGCTTTTGGAGTTGAATCTTGTGCCGTCCGCTTCGACGAGTGAGTCGAAGGTGTTTTACTTGAAAATGAAGGGTGACTATCATCGGTATATGGCTGAATTCAAGGTTGGAGATGAGCGAAACCAGGCTGCGGAGGATACATTGAATGCTTACAAGGATGCTCAGGTACCTAGAGTTTGAATTTCTAGAATTTTTAGTTTGTTCATCTGAAGTTGCGAAATTAGGGGAAGATATCTTGTTTCTGTATGTCATGTATAATTGCAAGTTTTGTGATTAAACAACATGTGTAGCCATACCTTATATTTAGGGATTTGGCATGAGATTTTGTTGGATATTGTGGGATTGGGGCAAGATTTGTGTATACGTGTATGCATGGGCTTACATATGTTGTGCTTAACGAGGACAAACGTAGTTATAGTTTGCTATGTTAGGAATTTTAGTGGTTAAATATTGTACATCGTGAAATTTAGCTAACATTATAGCGAGGTACAAGTATGTTTCTATTGGTGAAGAATGTAGTTGTTGTAGGTTGAATTTTTCAGTGTTTTGAGCGGTGAGTGTTGGACAATGCAAAAGGGCTAGGATTGTATATATCTATGTATACGCCTGCATATGTAAACAATCCACTTTTTTATGGGTTGGGTTTTTGAGTGAATGAAAGTTATAGATCATGATATTTGTAAGAGCTACATTCACACATTAAGAATTCGATCTAGGATGCGTATTATGGTTTTGGGAGGGTGCTTGTTTTTGTTGTTGAAAAATGGTCAATTCAGTTTTTGTGATTTTGTTGTTGAAGGAAACTGCACTGGCTGATCTGGCTCCAACTCATCCAATAAGGCTGGGGCTAGCCCTCAATTTCTCAGTCTATTACTATGAGATTCTCAATTCATCTGATAAGGCTTGTAGTATGGCAAAACAGGTATACTTCAACTTCATCTGCCGTGTATATATTTATGTTTATTATCAAAAGAATCTGCAGTGTAGATATTTCATGAATCTGTTTTTCTTTTCATGGTTTTCTTGTATGCAAACCTTGTTAGTTGATGCATTGGTCTAGCTTTAGCTTCTTCTATATCAAATGTTAGAAGAAGATTTGGAATATAATTGGGTTGTCTACTGACTAATTAATCAATTATGGTGTGTGTTGACTTTGTTAGGAGGGGGATTTAGTAAGAATATTATTGAACCAGGCTTTAAAGAAAGATAAAGAAATTTTCTTGTATCTCATGGCTTTGTTTCTTTCATGTGGTAGTTGACCATCAAATTTGTTTGGCATGCTTAATTATAGATTAGCAGATTTAATAGTGGGCACAATTGTTGGATGACAGAACCTGTGTCTTAATTCTTAAGCATGAGACTTTTTGAAAGTGGACATATGGTTGTTTTCCATTCAGATTTCCATGAAAGAAAAGGATAGAAGAGTTTTGCAACCTAATAGAATTATCTCATCATCCCATGTTTTTTTGTTGAAAACATGCTTCTTATTTTTAATGATTCATTGCTCAACTTTTACATTATTTTTTAAAGCAAAATGACCAGCAAACTTACGGTCTAGTTTTACCTATAGATGGCTAAATGTTGTAACCATTCAATTTGTTTTCAATTATAGTAATGATTGATCAATAAGAGAAACAAAATTTCTGGTTCATCTTATACTCGAGAACTCCCCTTAACTTAGAAGCTGTAGGATTAAAATTAGAAGGCTGGATAATATATGTGTTGAAGACATCTTCCAGTGATTCCATTCATCTGAATCTCTCTCTCTCTCTCTCTCTCTCTCTCTCTCTCTCTCTCTCTCTCTCTCTCTAAGTTCATAGACTACTTTGTGGTGGGATATCATTGGAGTCTTATTTTGGATGATTGCTATAGATCGTCATCATATGGGTAACTTTATATGATTTGATTTATTAGGTTGTGTTTTTTTTCCTGGTAAATTTATGTTCTGGTAAGAGTCTGTGCCACCTCAGTGTCTTCTCATGCAAAGCTTCTCCATGCTTATGCATGAATCATGTTATTTGTGTTTGGTAGGTGTAGAGCTACCTTCCAGGGAAAAAAAAAGGGTGTAAGCAAAGACAAAGCCACTTCATTTGACACGCCTTGGTTAATCTTCTTATGTGTGCATGTGTCACATAAGAAGTATGGAACTTTGTGGTGGCTGGAAATTGCTCCTGGTCAATGCTTGTAGTTGGCTGCTGCTTAAACCTATTCTTCATCTTCGGCTAAAATGTATATCATCCAAATGATGGTCTCAAACCATAAAAGTGCATGATTAACAAGAAAAAAGTACTAGGCCCTGCTTATTTGGAAATGCTTTAGTCTGTTTTTGGCTAAAAATGGAATAGCTAACTGAATCAGTTGATAGTTATCATTCAGCTATCTTTTTCTTCTTCATATTATGCTACTCGAAAATATACTTTAAGCTGGTGCTATAAGATCTTAAGTAGCTTGACCACATAATACTTATATTAATGTGCTTCTGTTGTCCTCATGTATAGGCATTTGAGGAAGCCATTGCTGAGCTGGACACTTTGGGTGAAGAATCATACAAGGACAGCACTCTCATCATGCAACTCCTTAGGGACAATCTCACTCTTTGGACTCCAGATGCGGTCAGTGTTTTGAAACCCCCCCCCCCCCCCCCCTTCTCTCATCATGCCACCCTGAAAAAAATGCACTCAGAAGGGGAGACCATGATTTATGCGCCTGACAAACACTTATCGACTCACTTTGTGAAAGATGCCTTAATATGGAGAATACGATTTATGCAGACAAGCCCCCCACCCACACACACACTGGCATTCACTTGTGCATGTTTAGCGTTCTAACCACTCACTCAACCAAAGATATGCCCTTTTGAGTGATTCATATTGTACGGTGTGCATGTGCACGCACATTCCCACAACTGAAGATGTGTTTGTAAGTCTACAGAGCCAGGTTGATCAAAAGATCTCACTTGAAATCATGTTTGGCTTTATCCAGGACCAGCAAGACGAGCCATGACAAGTGAACTGACAAGTCATGCTTGTCGTCTCCCCCGGAGGAGGTGGGCTACGAATGTCATTTGTTAAAACTGCTGACTAATTGTGTTCTTAGAAATGGGCATAAACCCATGACATGATTTGTTTCATACCAGACTGAACCCGCTTTAGAGTTGCATTATGTGTGATTTGGAATTGGGGGCTGGTAGGGGTACAATGTTACTCTTCTACCGAATTTTCACTTCTGTCACGGTTATTCACATTGCTTATATCTCTCTTTCTTGTTATCTCTTTTTCCAAGAATGTCCAGGGTGGGTCAAAACTTGAGGGGATAATTTTGACATTTAATATGCTTGACCTTATAAAAATACGGAAAGGTACAAAAATTCTCAGCTTACAATATGAAATATTGTCTTATTTTTGTTTGGTTGTTAGTTTATTTTGTGTTAATTAATCAAGAATCATAAAACAGATGAACGACTAAATGAAAATAAGATGGTGGATCATATTTTTTATTTCTTAGAAAGGGTAATATAAAAAAATTAATCATTTAAGGGCCAAACTAAGAACTGTTTTTTTTGTAGGGGCAAAAAGAAATTTACCCTAAATAAAATCCCATGTGTGGGGGTGTCTTTGACTGTAAAGAAACATTTAAATTGTATATTTTATCCTTAATAAACACCCCTCAAAATTTGAGAATTTCCATTTTTCCTCGATTTCCTGACCTTATCCACAAGATGTAGATTGTGTGTGCCTACTACCCCTGCATTTTCCATGTGGTTTCTCACCTCAACCTTTAGCACAAGCATAGGAAATATAATGGGGCCCATAGTTTGAGATCCTACGTGTCAAGTTGCCCCACGTATTTAGAATGAGTCAAAATTGTTTGTTGGAATCAAACTCAGAGAGTTTGTTCTCTACTCCTATAGTTCCTTGCCAATCCGACTCATTGCGCCATTACCATCTTCTGGGTTGCCACAGGAAATTATTCTTGCAGGAGTAAAATTGTTATGATAATGGGTCATGCCTGGCAACATGTGCAATTGAGACTTAAGGGTGGATTAAGAGGAAATATGAATATATTAGTTATTGCACGTGCCTGAAGGTACAGAGAAATAAAAAATAGTAAATAATAAATATATTAGTATTCATATCCAAAATTAAATCACAAACATAAAGGAGAGATAAATAAATTTAAACATCAGTTGTAGTGAGGGTAAGAGGTGGTGGTAATAGAAGACGGTGATAATTGTGGTGGGTGACAATGACGGTGACGGCAATTGCGATAGTAGTGGCAGTGGCGGTGGTGGCGGCGGTGGTGGTGACGGGGATCGAGGTGGTGGTAGGGGTAGTAGTGTGACGGTTTCAAGTACTATTTTTTTTAAAGTAGTTATGAGAAATAATTTTTAAAAATACTTTTAAAAAGTTATTCCAAACACACCCTTAGGCCCATATTTTTTCCATTAAATTTAGGGTGTTAATATTAATCGTTAGATTAGTTTTAAAGTAAAATTTAAAGCGATTTGAACTGCGAAAAACAAAAGACATTTTGTTTATCTTTTGAAAATTGAATTGTAAGTTACTTTATTGTATAGATATATTAGTTATTGTCTGTGCCTGAAGACACATAATAATAAAAAATGGTAAACAATAAACGTATTTGTATTCATATTTAAAATCAAATCACAAACATAGAGAAGAGATAAAAGAATTTAAGCATCAGTTTGTAGTGGGGGTGAGAGGTGGTAAGCGACAGTGGTGATGGTAGGAGACAATAATGGTTGTAGTGGATGACAATAATCGTGATGACGGCAGTGGTGGGGGCGGTGGCAATGGCAGTGGTGGTGGCGACGGTGGTCGTGACGGCAACAGTGGTGGTGGTGGGGGCGGGGGCGGGGGAGTGAGGGTGAGACAGTTTCAAACACTATTTTTTTTTTAAAGTGTTTATAAGAAATAATTGCTAAAAATACTTTTAAAAAATCACTCCAAATACACCCTTAATGACCTATTTTTTTTCTATTAAATTTAGAGTATTACTATTAGCCGTTAGATTAACTTTAAAATAAAATTTAAAACGATCTCAAGCGCGAATAACAAAAGTCATTTTATTTATCTTTTGAAATTTGAATTGTAAACTACTTTATTATATAGATAGCGTTGTAGATAGTAAATCAATGGAAGTGATAATAATTGGTCAATGAAATTAAGGGTAATTGGTCTCTCAACTTTGCCTTTGATTTTAAACTTTTAATTATCTCAATTTAGTTCTTCAATTATCAATTTTATTTCAATTAAACCCTTTCGTCTATTTTCATCATTAGATTAGCAATGAAATACATCAGATTGAACTAATTTTAAGTTGATCTAACGATGAAAATTAATGAAAAAACTTAATTGAGACTAAATTGAAAATTGAATGACTAAATTAGGATAATTAGAAGTTCAGAGACTAAATTAAAACCAAAGACAAAGTTCAGAAAACAACTAAAACTTTTTCCCCTAAAATCGATCATTACATCATAGACCAAAATTCTTCCACAACCTAAAACGCATGAAAAAAAGGTACTGATGTTTTTTGGATTCGAAGCAAAAATCTTATATAAGTTGGGTACTGGTGGTTGACACAGACGGCGTTGTTAATATTGGCAATTTCGCATTGGCCAATGCTAAGTGTTTGCTACTGGCCAAAGCTTGGTGCCTCTCGTGCACATTTTACCTGGTATTGAAAGAGTGCCCCACTTATGCATGCATATCATTTTATTATATCACTGATGGACAGAAGTAAGCAAAAAAACAAAAAAAACACCATCACTTAACATGATATAGAATGTCACCGGTCGAGTAAAGATGTACAGAGCAGTCTGTGCTCAGAGAGAGAGAAAGAGAGATGTACAACGAACAGGAATGTAGTTTGATATATTCTTCATGGTTACTGGTACTCCACTGCTTCCTACACTTGAGAGGAGTTCAGTCCCTAGTGCTATTTTTAACCCATTCCAGGTACTGGAGGCTGCCACCAATTATGGGCATGGCAATTACTTCAGGGACCCTGAAGAAAACAGAAAGCAAACTAATGGGTAAGAACAAAACTTCCCTTACAGGTCAATATTTTTTGCAGTAGTTATCTATCAACTGTGAAGTCAAGTAGCCGGGTGGGATGTTGGTGACCATCAACATCAAGGTCCACAGATTCTTCATATGAAATTAGAATCCTCTGGGATGATTGGGGATTAGGTAATCAGTCACTAATATACTGGTTTACCCAGTTCTGGGAATTATCAAAGTCTATCCTCTTTATGTTCTTGCTGGAATTTTCATTTTTGATGAAATCAGGAGAAAGTAACATCATGCACTAAAGGATGAGAAGTATTGCAGAGCTTACTCATATTCATGATTTGCCTTAACATGCTCTGTCAGAGCTTCCAAAAGGGATTCCCTGGTCTTGATTATAAGCAACTCCTCAGAATCAGTTTGTATCTGCAGCCAAGAATGTACAAGCATAAAACTTATTTTCAAACCACTTAAAAAAAATTGATGGTTGTTTCCTGGTAAAACAGAAGTTTTACCTCTCCCTGCCACTGATAAACTGATTCTATACCTGCATTCAAAATGCAAGTGGTTCATCAGGATTTAAAGTTTAGAACAAGTACTTTAATCTTTGAACTCAACACTGGGATGATTATCAATTGGTTGATAACTGTGAGGCTGTTTCACCTTTAATACCACAAGATATTCTATAAACAGAGGTTTCTCAATCATTTACGAGACAATCTAAATTACCAAGTCCACCATAATCTCTATATCCAATCCACAGGTTAGTTAGCAGTAATTTCACCTTCAAAGATAAAATCAAAGGCCAAAGGAAAAAAGTTGGGGGGACAGAAGAAGAAGAAAAAAAGAAAAGTGGTGCCATGTTCATGGGCCACAGAGATTACTCATTTCAATATGAAAGAATCACACCATTGATTGAAGAAGACTTCAAATCCAACAAATAAGAGCAGTGCTGTTAGAATTGTACATGCAATGCTCGCACACACTCAATTTTCAAACAAACCCCACCAATGCGGCATACAAGAGGTTTATAGTTAGCCAAAGATCTTAATAAGTTTGTGTAATGCTTCGTGAAGATGATTCCTATAACAATTGCAGCATTGAACCTAGCCTAAGGAAACTAGTGTTCCCCTAGGTTTTGAAAAAGTGACAACTGACATGATCACGAGTTACAATCACATTAAAGAAGTGCCAAAGTTTTAAAGAAATATTTCTGAAATGCCTAGATTTTTTTTTTTTTCTGTTCCTCTTTTTTTATTTACACACATAGTAAGAAGTTGAGAACCATGGTTACCACAATTCACTAAACCCTTAACGACCCATGATCTGGGTACATCGATCTCAAACAAGGTAGATTTGTGATCCGGATCACCAAAATGGACGACCACAAATTGTAATACTAACTCTCAATTAATTCACTTTAGAACATGTAACACAAATATAAAATACATATTAATTGACTACATTTATATAAATTTATAATTATATATTGCTTTAGATAATAGAAAATCAAGCATAACTATAAGATAAATGATAACTAACTTGTATTTATGAATGTTTTGTAATATATAATGTTGTATAGTAGTGAAAATAATCTACATAAGAGTTCTAAAATGAATTGCGACCCAAATACCGTATCAACTAAACCTACCCCCATCGTACCGCATACTTAACAAAGTGTTGTATTATGTAACCGTATCCGTATCACGTACCAAAGTGACCCACGATCCAAGTAACATTGTTGAGAACTACAGACTAAGCATGATCCATGTAGTTTATCTAGCAGCAAATTGCTTCTATTCTAAAACCAACATTGATACGCTTAAATACCCAATAAAGCAATAACAGTAAAAGGCTGCTTACTACCAAACTCATATTGAACCTTCTACCAGAAAAAGTATAACTCTACTAACACACTCAAATGTTAAAGAATACATAGAACCCTCGTAGAAATTGATCACTTATTTGAGTAAGACAAAGCAAGAAGAAGGCAACATGTAGGACACGGTTTTAACTTTTAAGAGATTGAAACACATACCTGGTACTCTATTTACACATGCTGCAAGTTTTTCTTTCACTATGCTTTCTGCAAGTTTCTTGCCTGCACTTAAAACACAAGCACATAATACAACATGATGAACCAAACAGAGAGCAGAAATTTTCAGAAAATTTTATTTTCAGACTAAAATACCATGGGATTGACTACATAAGCATTAGGGTAGTTAGATATTTTTTTATCAACAAAAAGGGTTCGCGGGAACAACCGGGGTGGAACTCCTGCCTAGGCATGACCATAGCAGCTCGAACCCACAAGGAAAGCAAGTGGCGCTTAGATGGCTGGTAACCGCAGGCAGGGCTGTCAATGGATTTTGATATGTCCAAATTTGAATCCGTTTACTTGACGGATTTCAAAATTTTTAATCCATATACACATCCGTTAATAATCAAATATCCAATCCGATTACCTAATCCGATTTAAAAATTTGAATCCCAACAAAATTTCATAAAAAATTAATAATTTTACCAAATTTAAGTTAACTTTCAACTTTATTTAATCAACCAATCATTTTATTCAATAACTTTTGTTTAATTTCATATCAACCTCACTATAAATCTAACTAAGTACGTATGTGTGTGTGTATATATACCAAAATGGATTTTTATATGATCAAATTTATATGTATCCAAATTTTTAAAAAATTTAGGCAGATTCGGGTAAACATATTAAAATATTAATCAATATCTAATTAAATAGATTCAAATTCGGATTAAAATTCAGTCAATTGACAGACTTAAGCGCAGGAACTTCAAAGGCCGACTGGAGCCATAGCTAACCCCGCACCACATAGCTGCCGGGTACAACGGGAGTCAGGGTGATGAGATATTGGAAATATAAGAAAAACTAAAGCTATAACATGCTGACCCTGATGAAGATATGAGATCAAAACCTCAAAATCACCACAAAACTGGTGGTGATACATAAAGCATTGTAAGCAAAGGAGCCTAGTATGAAAATGAAAAATAAAATACCCAAATAACGCCTACTAATTCAAAATGTCATCTGATCAGCAACCAAAAAACAAAACCCTAACCTGCTTCTTTGTTCGGGACAGTAACATACACAACAATACTGGGCACAGTCTTGTTATTTGCTTCCATTCTTACAATACTAACACTTTTCTCCGGCGTTTTGCTACCAATCTTGGATCTGAAACCCCACAATTCATAGTATGAGACCCAGATATTAGGGGAAAGTGGGTGAAGTGAAGGTACTTTTACCGTAAGAGAGGGGCGAAATGGAGGGACTGAGCACAACCCGTTTTGGAGGAGAAAGAGAGTGAGGGGTAGAGATTGGAGATTCCCAAACTCAGCACACAAAATGCACCAACTAAGGGCAGTCGCCGGCGGACCAGTGTAGAAGAGACGCTGGATGAGAGTTTTATTAGTGCCATCAGGTTTTTATACCTCTGGTTTACTTCGATACCCATTATTGGCAACCAAGAAAAGAAAGGTATGGATTAGAGTCCAATGCCGAGCCGAATCGGATTTTGATCTGCCAATTTTATTAATTAATATTTTTATTAATAATTTAAATTTAATTTGAATATATTATTTAATATTTTATAAATTCGAATTTAGATATATCAATATCTAATGATCATAATTCGATCCGAAATATATATATTTTTTGTATAAATATTAAAAAAAATTAGTTATTATTTAAAAAATTTTAGTTAAAATTTGAATACAATTTGTTAAATTCTAATAAAATTAAGTTATTCGCATTGAATTTTGAATTATTAATAAATTCAAATATAAACTATGAAAATAAAATCTATCTAATAATCGAATTAAATTCAAATGCTTGTAACCACTAAAACACAATCTAGCTAAAAAACTCAACTTGATTACCCTTACCTATGCACTTTATTACTATTTTTTTCCATGGTAGATTACTGAATTATATTATTAAAAAATTTATCTAATATTGCAGCTAGCAATTTAAATTGCACATCTATGAAAAAGAAATGATGGTTGAGATTAATTTAATTTTTATATAATTTCATTTAAAAAAAATTCACCAAAAAATATTACATGACCTTCAATGTTAGACAACTCAACTAACATGCCCTCAATGCTAGACAAGTCACTAATCTCTTCTCTTTTTTCTATCTCTTTCTTATTTTCTTTGTCTATTTTAATTATAAATTATGTAATTAAAAAAATTAAATTGTTATTTAAAACATAAATTTTGTACAATCAATGCTCATTTTTAATATTGTTTAGGCATGGAGTTATTTCTAGTTTTTTTAAAAAAAAAAACACAGGAGTTATTTCCGGTTTACTTTATAAATAATGAATCCAATTTATTAAATTTAAAATGAAGTATTTTCGAAGGGATCCAACTTGAATGTCAAAATTAGGGATAACATTGGACCGAAGTGGGGGTGGGGGGTGTAATCTCCATCCCCGTACCGTTTAAAAAAACTTTGTCCATCATTGGTATATCCCTATTCACAGGTATAGTTTTCATCTCCATTTTCGTTTGCAAGTAAATTTGTAATTCTCACCCCCGCCTCGTCTCCTGCCTTCACCCTCGCCCCTGCCCCCTACCCCCCATCCACCTTACCGTCCCAACCCAAGGTCAAGACAATATAATCCAAAATTCTAAATAAGTCTAACATTCTAAATAATTTAACATAATTATAGAATTTCATAACATAATTAAAAAGTTTGTCATCTATAATATAATATAATTAAAACCTTGTCTACAATATAATCCAACATAATATAATTAAAAATTTGTCTCTCATATAAATCCAATACAACATAATGTAACATAAAATAATCCAACATAAAAATACAAAGATCTATACTTTTACAAGTCAAAAACATGAAAACAAAATTTAAAAATAAAATAATTTTCAAAAAAAATAATTATTTAATAATATATAGATTTGTATTTACAGCAACACGTATACATAATAATAATAATAATAACGGGTAAAACAGAGCGGGAGTAAGTGTCAATCCATCTCCGCCTTCATCTTCATAAAGGTTTATACAGATTTTTCCATATATGTCTATCGTTTAATACGTACGATCCATCCCGATCTAAACGAAATAAATTTGGACAAATATTCATTTTAACTCGATCCACTGTTATCCCTGGCCAGGATGGTGTCTTTCCGGAAGTTAATTGAGCTGGGTTAAAATCAGGTGCCCAATTGGGCCACAAAGAAGCTTACCTTTCTTTCAAAAGAAGGGCCCATGTGCAACTTGAAGCCCATTAAATATTGGACTCAAAGCCCATAAAGGCCTTTATTGTTTCAAGTGACGTAACTAAAAGGAAGGGCTCGACAATCTAACCTATCAATACTATGAATTTTATACGACACGATTATTAAATATGCATAATATTTGAGTTGGATTAATATTTGATATTTACAACACATCAAATAGATTATTGTTTTTCTGTGGGTATATATATATTTTTAAAAATACACTTTTATTTATTTATTTTTTTTTGGAGAGGAAAAGAGGGTGAAGGAGAGAGACCTAAACCCTTGACCTCAAAAAAATAAAATCTTTATAAGATAAATAGTACTATTGGACCAAAGACCCATTGATATGAGTATTTATATATAACATGACATGAATTACACTGAACCGACCCAAAAATAACAACGCGAGAATGATACGATACTAAAGAAAAACTCATGTTGTTTAATCACCATCCGGTAGATCAAGGTCAAAATTATTCTTACATTAGTCAAACGGCCTAGGTTGATATCTAATTATCTATGGCAGGTCTAATGGGCTTAGAGGAAATTGACCCAAACTAAAATGTAATCCACCACCCAAAATAAAATGGAGAATTCATCACAATTTAACACGTGTCAACAATATAAGTGAAAAAAAAAAAAAAAACAAGGTGGATAGATAAAAAAAATACGGGTTGTACATAATTTATAGACTTAATACATTGTTACCTCATCGGGTATTGGATTCACCGTAAATTTAATGACAACGTTGCATCAAGAGTATATCTAATAAAGCTCTTTATTTTAAAAAAGGATATATTTTTGAAGGATTTTTTTGCACTATACATTTCGAAAGATTTCAATTTTTTTTATTTTGTGCCCTTGGAGAATAATTTTTTTACATTGTACTTTTAATGTATTAAAATTGTTGAAATATGATCATTTTATTAGATTATGTTATTTTTTTCCGTTAAAAGTAAATCAAGTGATATTGGCATCATAACTAATGAAAAATAAACAGAAGGAACACATTACAACTCTTTTAATACATTCAAGGTATAATATAAAAAATTTAATCTCTGAGAAAATAAAATAAAAAATTTAAAATCTTTTAAGGCGTGAAGTGCAGTTCATCATTTTTTGAAATAGAGAATAATTTGATGAAAAATTAAAATAGAGCACAATTTTTTTGGCAACTTTGATAGAAATCTCTATTTTAGTATGAAATTAGCTTCTATATTCAAACCATTTAATAAATCATCTATGGTTTGCTCTTCAAATGTAGCGAGTCAGATTAACATTCTATTTGAGCTAGTGTAAATAGAGAGCCTCTTTAGAGATAAATATTTTATGATTAATTTTCTAAAATAAAGAGTTATAGAATTCTATTAGAGATGCTCAAAAAGTTCTCAAATTAAGTCTTTAAATTAGATTCAAATGATTTTCCTTAAAAAAATTCAAGTTTCAAGTAAAATTGCATCCAAAACTCGTTAAGACAAATTTTTATTGATTGACAAACATGAGCTTTAAATTGGGCATTCGAAATTAAGCACCCTTCACCTACATTACAAATACATGTCCGTTAAATTCTAAGGGGAAATCTAATGGAAATAGAGATGAACTGTAAATTTAGACTTACTAAGTTTGAAACATGATAATTTTTTTGGGGGGTCAAATCATGAGGAATTTATTCCTTTTGAATTTCCTATTTTTAATGTGGATTACCTATCTATTACCGGATTGAGAGAAAGATTAATTGAGGTGTGCATAAACTGATCCGACCTTAATACCAAAAACAAAAAAAGAGTTTTAGGGCCAAACTCAATAGGATTCCAAAAAAAATCCACTCGCTAATTTGCTTTTGGATTAGATCCTTATTGAAAATTCAAAAAAATGGACATAACTAACTTCCTTTTAAATTGTAAAAATAATGACAATGTCATCACGTAATTAAAACACTTGTTTTAAAAAATTACGTCATCGTAATGCACATTCATCTTTATAAATACATATCATCAGATAAGTACACTAAAAAAAGATGATATGTTCTCGATTAACGTATCAATTAACTAGTGGTTCGTGAGTATATTAAGATACATTTACTAATAGCGGCTGAATTCAATGTATCTTTAGAACAGATACATTGAGATGAGACGTATGGACAAACGTCTTTTCGATTAATTGCACAATTAACACTATAATGAACATGCATTTAAATCTCTTCAACTATCCCATGAAAATACTTTTATAAATAACATATCAAAAAATCAAAACAGCAACATAGAAAATAATGGATCGGTCAAGGAAACAAAGAAGACAGAGTAAAATATAAATGCTTGTAAGTTTACTCAACGAAGCATACACCAAACAAGATCGCATGTAAAAAGATATCGACCGTCTAGAATTTCAACTGTATATGTCCAACAAACAACGAGACGAGCGTAAGAAAATGACGAAAAAAATCAACATAAAACAACAAAAGGGGAGGAAAAAGGCTAAATAGCTTGAGAAAGAGTTGGATGACCTCAAAAAATGATCTTCTTTTGTGTTTTTTTTAAATGTAAAAAAATGATTTCCAAATACATTATACGATATATATATATATATATATATATATATATATATATATATATATATATATATATATATATATATATATATATATCCACGAGATAGATACATTAGTATTTAATTAAGAAGAAAGTACACATATGCCATTACAGGTACATAAGTACATAAAACCAAAGAAAAAAATTATAAAAATCAAAACGAACATGTACTTAAATCTACCAACGAATACATAAAACTTAACTACTGTGATCTAATTTGTGTACCTACCAAATCAACGCTTAAGATAAACGATCGGTATACTTCAAATTGCTTGGTTCACGAATTTGAAATTTAAAACTGATAGGCAACATCGCAAAATCCTAAAAAACAAACGCAAAAAAAAAGGAAACTAATTATATTTTGTGCTGAAATCATGTGATAAGGGAAATTAATAATGAAAATACACTAATTGACCAACCCCTATATGTTCAAGCCAACACAGGGACCGCATACATTTTTTTTTAAAATATGAAAAACTTTTTTTATATATTAAAAATTTGATAAAACTAAAATTAATTTACACAAAAAAAAAAAAGAAAAGATATCCTAGAACATTGTCTAGAGAGCCACAAGTGCATTTGTGTCGCCTTCCTTGTCCCCTACCTGCCAATCCGAAATCAATTAGCACAAAAC